TTAGATGATGCATTATGAGCTTATATGATTGTTTAAAAAATATTTACAGGAATGTCACCATATAGGCTCATATTTGGCAAAGCTTGTCATTTTCCAATGGAATTAGAACATAAAGCTTATTGAGTTGTTAAGGAATTTAATTATAATATGAAAGAAGCTGATGAGAAAAAATTATTGCAATTAAATGAGCTTGAGGAAATTAGATAAGAATATTATGAAAATGCTTAGAGTTATAAAGAGAAAATGAAAGTGGCATGATCAAAATATTCTTAGAAAATATTTTGAGCTTGAATAAAAGGTTTTACTATATAATACATAATTGGAATTATTTCTTGGAAAACTTAAGTCCAGGTGGTCAAGACCATTTACTGTAATTAAAGTTTATCATTTTGGTGCAATTGATATTAAAGATCCTAGGAATGGCAGGGTATTTACAGTGAATGGATAGAGTCTTAAACCCTATTTAGGAGGAGAGAGACCATTGTTAATGAGGTCTTAATGTTGAGTCAACCTAAGTAGATATCTGGATTTTTTGGGCTGATGACATTAAAGCAAGAGCTTATTGAGAGGCGACCTAAGTTTGTATTTGTTTTAATGTGATGTGCTTGATGTTTGTTGATGTGGATTGTTGATAGTTTTATGTTGATATTTAAGTTTGTAAGTGTTTTGATTTGATTAGGATTGTGTGGATTAAGGGAGGCAAATTTCTAGTCTTCTCATTGTGGCTGGACTTTAGTAAGTTCTTTAGAAGTAGAAGGATCAACCACATCCTCTACATCTTAGTTCTCAATCAAAAGGAATTACTAGAGACATGTTGAGTTTGGCATAGGACTACTCCATCTCAGTTCTTTATCATCTATTTTTTACTATCATGTTGATTTCAATAGACCAACTATTTGAGGAGCTTGTGGATGATAGTTTTATTGAACTATAAGTGGTGCATAATTTATTGGACATTAGTACTTAGGGTTGGTAAAAATAAGACAATAGTAAGGGTGCTATTTGAACCAAAATATATTTACAAAAATATCTATAAGCATTTGAAGATTAAATGAAAAGAGATTCTATTTGTGATGAGGAAATGGAGAAGCGAGATGTGATGAAAATGAGGGATGAGTTCTTTTCATTTATATTTGGCATAAAATTGTGTTTTGTGTGTTTATATGTGTGTTTACGGACTTATGGAGGATAAAAAATTAAATTCAAATGAGCATGACCAAATCTGGGTCTTTCATAACATGCGGATGGAGGTAGATTCAGAGAGAGAGGGCTCTCACAATGAGTAGATTGTTCTTGTTTTGATGTTGATATGTTATATTATGTTTTTTTGTTGTTGCTGCATTTGTTGTATTGTTTATAATCCTCTGATGTTTTGAACTATTTGTATTTGTTGATGTTATTATTATTGTTGTTGTTGTACTCTTTAGATTAAATTTTGCTGTCGTATGGACTAAATTATGCACTTATTGTAATATTTTAACTTTTTATGGTGTAATTTTCATGTTAAACATGCTGAGTTGTGATTTATTGCCACTGTATACTTGTCTTTTATGTTTATACCTGTAAATTTTTATGATAGGCGCATGTGGTAGAAGGTATTTCAGTGTTATTTTCTCCCTACTTATATTCATGTTTTACATTACTTAATATACCCTAAAAATCAAGTTTGGGGGGGAGAAAATCTTTTTAAAAGCTTAAATTTTATTGTCCTTAGTTACCTGCATTTTAAATTGTTACAATTTTTTGGAAAAGAAAAACATAGTAACTTTATTTTAAATTATATGTAAATGAGGCTAGACTAATGTACAATTAACTTGTAGTTAAACCTGTAGAAAAATGGTTTCACTATTTATTTTTGCAAAGAGTTATATAATTTTTTAACTAGGCATACTTGGATATATAATTTTTTAACTAGACATACTTGGATATATACTTCATAAGTGTTAAGCCTCTATTCAATTAATAGTTTTAACTATTACATATTAAAGGAGTGTGGTGGGCATCACTTTAGGGAGTTGATAGTAGATTTTAAAACATTAAAGGTCTATCCAGATATAGTCATCCCCCAAAAAGTAGTGCTAAGAATTGAAATATACATCCTAAAGCAAGAAAAAAAGTGATTAACAGAAAAGTATTGTGTTGGGAGAAGCTTGAGAAGAAGCATATTCAAAAATTAGTTTTACTAGAATCTTTTTAAAGTTAAAGCATATACATTCCTAAACTTATGTGTAATAAAAGTGTACTTGTAATTCTTTTTTTAGTGGTGTGTAGGTTACTAAAAAATTGACCATGATTATGTCAAACATGGAATTAAAATGCCAATGAATTTCACCCCAAGTTATAGGTAGATCAAGGGTTTCCAATATTTCATTCATTCTCTTGAGAATTAGCATAAGGGCTCACATTTGGCTGTTAGACACTCGACTCTGAGATTCATCTTATCAAAGGTGACTTTGAACAAGATGTTCACCTAGCTCCTGTATCAATAATGTTATTACCAAACTAAAAACCACTAATTAGGGTGGTGATGATGATTACGTTGTTGTAAGGATTGCTCCTGGTGAGCAATTCTTCTTTTATAAATGTGATGGGGGATGATGTATGATTCATCGTTGGGATGAACAACCATACATAACTCACCCAAGAAAAACCTCTTAAGGCTCTCCTACTAGGAAGCTTTGGTATCATCCCCTTCAAGGATGGTTGAGACAACTATAGTGATATGTATGGCGTGAGCATGAGCCAATTCATTGTGTTAATTTTCCACTGAATATTTTCTTTGTTGCTCAATAACAGTTCTAGCATGAATTTCTTCATCTTTTGGCTCTAATAAACTCGTCAGTCAGAGTCCAAAGTTGTTGACACTCCTCAATGTCATACCCGTAATTTAGGTGATATGCAATATTTTTTTGTGATGGGCATGTCCTCCAACATTCATTGGAATTGGCTTTTGGAAGAAGTATTTATTCTTGATATTCATCATTACTTTTGCCTTAGCTTGGTCTGTTGAGGGATCTCATGAGTCAGAGGAGACAATCTGTTATGATAACAATTCATCCTCCTTTCCTAATTATGCGCCTTCCTCACATATGAGTGTTCTATCCTCTCCAACATGTGTGCCTCTAATTAAGGGAAAGGAAAATTATCCTCATATCTAGGTTGTGTTGGTGGCTGTGAAGAATGAATTTGTTTCCATTTCCCATGTGGGAGCTCCTCTATAGTGATCGTTGTGGCGGTCGCTCGATCCTTTGTAGGTTAAGGGCTAGTTGTAATCTTCTATCGATATTTGATTGATGGTGAGTTCCAGCTTAGTCTCTTCAAGTGCAGCATGCCCAATGCAAAATAATAGGGACATTCTCTAAGTTATTGAGTGAGGGATGCATTAGTTCTTGTGGGCTCTAGGTCTCACACTTCTAACATCTTTTTTTGAAAATAGGTTATAAAGTTGTGCAAGGAATCTCTGCATCCCTGTCGTAGCTGCATCAGTGCCTGAGAGTTCTTTTGAATTTTTTGGTCTTTAATGAATTGTTTCTTTTAAATTCTACAAAAGAGGTAATCACTTATAATGAAAGACTATTGAACTACTGGAGGGAAAATTACTTCAAGGTTATCTAGAAGAGTCAGCATCTCAATGTATCTTTTATCCTTAGTAGGCATGCTGTCTACTCGAAAGAATATAAGTGGTCAGACGAACCAGATTTCCCTCAATAGTGCTTCAGTGTTGGTTTCTTGAAGCGTTTGGGGGACTCAACTTTGAAAATATTCTCGAAGAAAGCATTCTTTGGGGGATTAAGCCAGGGGTGTTGACGTGTTCTTGCCTATTACATACTATGGGTGCTGATTCTACAATGTAGGGGTAGTAGGCATCGTCTCTTTCCGGTGACAGAGCTCTCTTGACATCGGTACAAGATCTCCTACAGCGCGCAGGGGCTAGTGGTTAAGATAGCGGAACTACCCTCCTTGATGATTTTCATCACATGTTCCATGAGTTATTGAATCTATTGAGCCACAAAATCTATTGTGCATTCTATGTTGTCTATGATTTCACTATGATTTTATTCTCCTTAAGCTACTCTTCTTTTTGTCATATGATTCATGCTCATTACATCTTTTAAGATGTTAAACCTGGTCCTAGAATTATGTTCAAGGAATATAGCATAAATGAAGAGAAAGAAAGAGATTGTTTTGAGGAATGAAGTGGAAACTGATGGAGGGAAGATGTATCATAGAAAAGTGCTCCTTTTGTTGAGGTTTTCATTTTTCTTGGAAAAAAAAATATCAAAAAAATGACCCCTATTACATTTAATTTATTTTATGTGTAGTAGTTAGACATTCGTGAAAAGGCATATTTGGGCATATGCTACAAACATTCTTAGGTGTAGATCTCTCAGATTCTTGTCTCCATGGCTGTCATGATCTCTGATATTGAAAAGAGTTGTCTGAATTGCTTAAACTAACTACTAGCGTTCAATAGGTGTTAAGTTGATTTTCTTATCCCTAGGTATTTGTCCCCGGTAACTGGACAATTTGTCACCCTAATCCAGTCAATCAACCTTGAGCGCTCGACCTCAGTCATGCGACCTCAATCATTCGGTTTCGGTCACTCGATCAGGTACTTTACTCATGACCTATAGTTACGTCCGACGACCCCATCTACTATTTTCACTCACTCAGGATGACTTTCGTCGATTGATATGTTCTGAGCCATCTAATTCTCGATGATCTGAACCATTCACGATGTATGATGACCTTGACAATCACATTTTGGCTATAATATTCTCTTGCTTTTCCCCTTTACCTGTCGTCTGCAAGAGGCTAGTCCTCTATCTCATCCGCTCCACCCACCTCACCCACGATCTCTCGAAAAGTGTATCCTCGGGGTCCACACCGACCTCAACTTCTCCATCAACTATATTTATTCATAAATTACTTCAATTCAGAATTACCAACTTAAAAGGACAAGTCCAATATATATATTTATGTTTGTGTGCAATAAACTTCCTCTGTAAGAAAATCGAGAAACAATTAGATTCGAGTCCATGAACATAAGTGCCGATGACTCATGGCCCATGAATCATCGAAATGCGTCTGCATTTCCCATTGACCTTTCTTCCCGAACTCCGGTCACTCTCTCGGAACTGGCACAACCGTCACGGTTCAATGCCCGCCCATAATCAGCCACGACCATCGGCGGCTAGATCTTTTAGCTCTAACTAGATCCTTGTTATTGGAACCCTATACTAACCCGACAATGGACATCCTCATCGCCCAGATCCAGGCAGACCTCCGCTCCAATGACGCCCTCCGGCAGTCTGGTGCCCTCCTCCAGGCTCTACAGCAGTCGGCGGCCGGGCGCGACATATCTGCCGTTGCCAAGTCCACCGTGGATGAGATCATCGCTTCCCCATCATCCGCCGTCTGCAAGAAGCTCGCCTTCGATCTCATCCGCTCCACCCGCCTCACCCACGATCTCTGGGAAACTGTATGCTCCGGGGTCCGCACCGACCTCGACTTTCCCGATCCCGAAGTCGCTGCCGCCGCCATTTCCATTCTCTCCGCCGTCCCCTCTCACCGCCTCGCCAAGCTCATCTCCGACTGCCACAAGGAGATCTCGAGCTGCTTCGATTCCCCCAGCGACAACCTGCGGTTTGCCGTCACGGAGACCCTCGGATGCATTCTCGCTCGCGATGACCTCGTGCTCCTCTGCGAGAACAGCGTCGGTCTTGTCGAACGCGTTTCTAACTGGTGGATGCGGATTGGGAACAATATGCTTGACCGTTCCGACACTGTCTGCAAGATCGCCTTTGAATCCATTGGCCGGTTGTTCCAGGAGTTCGAATCCAAGAGGATGAGCCGCCTTGCTGGGGACAAGCTAATTGATAGCGAAAATTCTCTCGCGATACGTTCTAACTGGGTCATGAATGCCATTGATCTCGTGTGGAAGAAGAGGAACATTCTGATACAGAGGTCGATGATTCTTCCAGTTGAAAACTTTCGGATTACTGTCTTTCCTCTTGTGTATGCGGCCAAGTCTGTAGCTTCTGGTGCAGTGGAGGTGTTTCGTAAGCTCTCGAAGTCTGGCGGAACTGCATTTGATACCCTAAGCGCCGAGAAGATTGTGGGAGTTTCTGATGTAGTCTCGCATCTATTGCCGTTCTTGAGCTCTCTGGATCCACCCTTGATATTTGAGGTTGGAATTAATATGCTTTCGTTGGCTGATGTTCCTGGTGGGAAGCCAGAGTGGGCCTCTGCCTCTATTATTGCAATTCTTACACTTTGGGACAGGCAAGAGTTTTCCTCTGCTAGAGAAAGCATTGTAAGAGCTGTTGTGAACAATCTCCACCTCCTTGATCTTAGCATGCAGGTATTTCATCTTTTTTTTTCCTTTGCAATGTGTTTCCTCTCCTTATAATCACTTTGTTAGTACATTGGGCCTCAAAACTTAACTCAACAATCAAAGATAAGTTGAACGTTGTGTTGATTTTAGTTTTGGATCAAAACCAACAGATGGGAAAACAAGGCAGGTCTAGCTCAAATTGAACTTTTCATTTATTTAATCGGGCTAATTCAAAATTGGATCAAGTTTTATATCTATATATGCATTGATGTCAGCATTCGCAGCGTTATTCAAACCATTTGGGGTTTTCTATGATGATTTTGCTTACAAGAATACAACATGCATGATGGATGTGTCATGGGATTGCAAAGCTAGCACCCTTTTGCTTGTGCGAACATAGGAATCTCCAATCCTATGTTAAACTTCAATCGCACTTCCTCACAAAGAGAGCATAGCTCTAAAGATTCTTCATAGCTCTTAGTTTGTGATGTTATCTAAGGTTCTCTTCCACCAATATTAAAGTAGTGTTCCAATAACCCTCCATCATGATAAATATATGGATTATAAATATCTAGTGGAGTCCAAAAGCTTATGTAAAGTTTAATAACATTCTCTGTTGTTCTGGAGAATCTATCTTATTTAGGATTCCAACTTATCAAGAGATGTTCCCTTGTGATTGCTAAGAGGACAATGATCCATCAATGTAGAACCTTATTATTGCTCATATCTAATGAGTTTCCTAATCTTTTGAAGCTTTACCATTTTTTCTACCTATTTTGGTGATGTACTCATCACATCCTCCCATGAAGTGCCTTGAATTACTATCATGAATGCCAAAACATTTTCAGAGGTTCCCAACCAGAGACGTTACCAGCATTATTTTTTAAGGTAGGCAAAATCCCTAAATGTCTAATTTTTTTAGTGTTGGGCAAAAAAAAATATTGAGGGGGTATAATTACTAAATTGCCTGAACTACATAAGAAAAAAATATTAAATTTAACTATTTCTATAGAGAAATTGAAATTTTTGGGGGGCAATTGCCCAGCCTGGGATAACTTGGTCCGCCCTGTTCCGAACTCATCTTGTTGTTCGACAATCAATACTTTTGCTAGTCTCAACACACTTTTAACCACTTTTGTTTTATTGGATTTTTGCTTAAGCATGAATTTAATTCTACAAGGAAGTTTAGGCGGCAAGCCTATTTTGAGGCGGGCTTTCTTTTTGTTTGATTATAAATCTTCTTATTATCTATCTTTACATTGTACTTCATTCCAACAACGTATGTTTGATATGCAAAGGCAATGCATTGTCATGATCATCTCCTTTTCTTGCTTCTTGTAAATATGCTTAGCATTGTTTAGCTTTCAGCTCTTAGACACAACTGGCATCTCTCCTGCAAGATTGCACTAAGATTTGCATTATTTGAGGCATTCGTTTGTACCACATACAACTTCGAGTAGCTTGACAATGTTAGCATCTATGAAGCACCAACACCTCCAAACAGAAGTCATACCCGTGTCAGACACGTGTCGGGCACCGACACAACTCTGAGACGGGCTGATTCGTGTCCGACACTCTACTAAACGTGTCGGAGCAACCCGATTAATTTGACGCTTGCCAGACACCTCTTGACACTAGACACAGGAAAATTTGAGCGACATAGAAGCAACGACAACAAAAAAGAAAGTTGTGACGTTCTGTAGGATTTATTATCTTACCACTGTTCCACAATCATTCTCAGCAGCCCTATCGAAGCGAACGAAGAGAAAGCGTCGTTGAGCACCACTAGTCGAAGCAAGGGAGTCGACGAGCAGCCCTGATCGATGCAAAGGAGTTTTCGAGTAGCCCTAATCGATGCTAGGGAGCCTTCGACGCGATCTGGAGCTTTGACTCTAGCAAGGGCACGATCTAGAGCACGATACAAAGCTTCATGCATTCTTTGATGCGATCCAAGGTTCGACGCAAGCTAGGAGACGATCCAGAGCTTTGAATCCAGCTAGGATATGATCTAGAGCACAATACAGAGCTTCCACGTAATCTCCCTCACAATAAAGAGCTTTCGTGCGAGCTAGGGCACGATCCATAGTATTGACGCAAGCTGGGGAATGATCCACCCATGTGGATTTAGTGATTAGACCTTTGTGTTTTGCCCCTTATTTATTTTTTCATTGTTTTTTTGTGCGATGGTAAGTTGGTAACACAATTTTTTTTTGTATTTATCTATCTCATACCAAATGAAAATATGATACTAAATAGGACGCAATGGAGAGAAAGAGTTCATGCAGTCGACCCCATTTAGTGGGATAAAGGTTTTGTTGTTGTTGTCGTATCTATCTCACACCAAAACTTTGATATTTGTCTGCACACCACTTTATTTGTGCATAAAAAGATGAATTTGATTCAATGATATGTGAACCTTGATAAATTAGTGGTTTTTTTGATAAATTTGATGTGATAGGGAAAGGATTGAGTGGTAGGCAGGTAAATATGCGAGGAATCATGTCTAGGTTCTAATGTTGAAATCTTGAAATCTTCCTTCACTGATTAATGTAGGCATGTAGACATCAGCTCTTAGCCTCTAACATTTTAATGAACAACACAAACCATTTGGTATTTAGATTAATTAAATAGGGCATTCACATGCATACCATCTACTTCTTATTTAGTGGATTTGGGTATAATATATATATATATATATATATATATGAATTTTAAATGTGCACGTAGGGTGACAACTTTGTAGGCAGCTGAGGCGTAAGTTCCCTCGGACCCGGGTTTGATTTCTATGGGAACAAATAACGCATAATTCAACAGCATTTCCAACTACCACCCTTTAAAAAAAAAATAAAAAAAAGTATATATGAATTTTAAATGTTTATATTTTCTACAATTGATTAATTGGATAATGACTACTATAAGTGCCTCTAATAAATCCATACAGTACGAGACAAAGCCTTTATGGGCATATGTCACCAAATTAGAGAAATTGAGATCTATCGGAGCAGGAGGCAACATAGAATTTTAGTGTTATTTTTGCCAAGGAAAGTTCAATGGAATATTCTAGGATTAGAACACACTTGCTTCGATATTTTGGAATTGGTATTCTAGCACGTCCTAAAGTAACTGTCACAAATTTAAGAAATGCAAAAGTTAGATACTATTGCAAATCAGAAAAAGAAGAATGATGCATTTAAGATGATTCTACTACCTTATGGTTAAAGTGGTTCTAATTAGTTGTGTAACTCTCAATCAGTGGGCATTTATTTAGAGTAGAAGATTATGATAATGATTATAAGAAAAAGACAAATGTTGGGCAATAATGTTATTGAAGGAACATTTAATTTTTGAGATAGCGATTATTTACATGAAATCACCTGAATGTTTTATTCTGCAGCTCTTTTCATTTCATTTTGCAAGAAATATTTTAGTGCATTCTCAGATGCAAACAATAATACAATTACTGGATATACTAATCTTGGTTATAATATGTTAAGAACAATCTTGCTTTAAAAAAGAGGGAACACATGTTAAGAGAATGCTTGAGCCTATAAAAGACTTGGAATGAGAAAAGAGTTACCATAGTTTGTAATGGTTGGACATATATTAATTTCATAAGCGCCACAAAATCTTGACCAATGTTATAAAAGCTATTAATCGTGAATGGACATATAAGATAAGTTTTATATTGCCAATGAAATTAAACAACTAATTTTGGGCTTATGTTCAGTTAAGTGCTTCAAGTAATCACTGCTAATGTATCTGTGTGTAGAGTTGCATGAGCATTGATTGAGGCTCAATATTCTTATATTTTTTGGGCTTTTTGCATTATTCATATATTGAACTTAGCATTGAAGAATATATACGCTCTTAAGAATATAGAAGGAAATAAAACAAATTATGAGCAATACAGATGGATAGTTGACATTACAAACGATGTCAATTTTATAAAAAAAATATATTATTAATCATTCAATGAGATTATCAATGTTCAATGAGCTTGTAAAGTTGAAAATGTTGGCTCTTTTAGAGACCAGTTTTGCATCAAGTATGGTCATGTTTTGAAGATGCAAAACAATAAAATAAGAGTTACAAATAATGGTGATTATTGAGAAGTGAAATATGTCTTGTGAAGATGATACAAGCAAGGCAAATTTTGTAAACGAAAAAAATTTTGAATGTTGTATAGTGGGATAAAATTAATTATGACATTGATTTTACAAAATTTGTATATGACATGTTGAGATTGGTTGATACAGATAAACATTATCTTCACTTTGTCTACGATATGCGAAATTCTATAATAGAAAAGGTGAAAAGTATTCATATCGACATGAATAAAAGAGACATAATGAAGACTTCAATTTTTATAAAGTCGTATATAAGATTTTAGTTGAAAGATGAAATAAAAGCAACACTTCTCTTCATTATTTAGATCACTCTCTCAATCCAAGTTATTATTTGATTTGATGTTTATTCTTTATTAATCCTAACCTGTATTAATTTTGTCATTTATTAGTGCATTTTTTTATTAGGTATCACAGTCACTTTTGGCTAAGTGAAACTTCAAATCGTGTTGCTCTAAATAAAGACATGGAGATACCAATTGAGAAATAAATGTTTACAGAAGATTTTTCCAAATATTAAAGAAAGATAAATTGTTAATTTTGAATTTACCAAGTTCTTTGGATTTAGTGGTGCTTTTGCTGATCATGAATCCATTACTTCTATAGTTATTATGGATGGAAAGACGTGGTGGATGGTTTATAGAGCGAGTTTCCCACAACTGTAAAGTTTAGCTTTCAAATTATTGGCCCAATCAAATTCATCTTCTTGTTGTGAAAGAAATTGGAGTGCATATTCTTTTATTAGTTCACTTAAGAGGAACAAAATTACTTCATAACGAGGTGAAGAGTTGGTATTTATACTAATCTTCGTTTTCTATCTAGGAGGGGCTCAAAATATTCTCATAGGTGCAGATGCCTAGTTACAATGGAGTATATTGAAATTCTTGAAGTTCTCTTGATGAGCCATGCTTAGAAATAGTGTTTTTCATTTATGAAGGTGAAAGTGACATTGATGAAGGCAATGGAGCTAACACAAATGATGACACTATTGTCAAATGCATTAACTCCAATTATTGATAATTATGTTGTTATATTTTGACATTTTTTCATGTTTTGTTTCATGTTATTTTGGATGACATTCGCAACATTTTTTTATGTTTTGTTTCATGTTATTTTGGATGACATTCGCATTAAGTGTTTGGATAATTTTTTGTTATTTTGAATGTAATTTTAATATTATCAAAAAGAACTTTTATGAGTTTATCATTATAAAATTTTCTTAATGATTACATTTGTTATTTTGTGATGTCTTTAGTAGAAAATATTAATATATATTTTTTTGTACTAATAATTTATTAAAAATACAAAAATGTGTCCATGCCGTATCATGTCCTATTTTTTACAATTATGTTGTGTCTTCGTATCATATCTTGTCATGTTTGTGTCCCCATGTTCATCTATGTGCTTCATAGGTTAGCATAGACTCCTCCGTCGCTAGCACATCGGCCACTTGAACTTTGTTTAACATTCAAAGCAATCTTGTGCATGTTTTTGAGTAATATGGTGATGCTTGAGGCCATGAATGAACTGTCAATAATAGTTGGATGGCACAGCGAATGAATGTAGCCCTGTCATTGGTGTTTCCTAATCCAAGTTAGTTAAAACTTTGCTCAGTCCATCCACACCTGGGCTCCACTTACAACGTGTATAAGGGTAGTTCCCTCTTCTTTAAAAATGACAAATAACTTTACCCTATTAAGTCGTTTTATAAAATTATGACTTCCTAAATTTTGCTATCACTCATGATGCCAATATAATATGGCAACATCATTAAAATACATTAATTGTGGGTTTTACCCACAACGTGCCATTCATGACTGTCATCACATTGAAATACTATTCTATGTTCTACAATAAGTTGTTGATGCCTGTGTGTTGAACTTGCATCTTTAGGTTTTTTTGGTTTTCGGATTTCCAATTAGGTTGTACAGCAATCATCTCACACACTTACTTTCCTTCTATCACATATCTCTGCCTTGAGCTTTTTCATTTGATAGCATATGGCTTCCACCAAGGTTTGAAGAGCATCTTGCCACTTCTCAAGCATTTTTAGTATTTAGGATGCTTTCCATCTCTCCATGAACTCCCAATAAGAGACCCTTCATGTATTCAAATGTGTCCTTTATCATCCCCAATTAAAATTTCGTCCTTTGCTATTCAGTCCTGCAATTCTGACAACACTTCCTTCAAACTCTTATGTGACTTCTTGTTCATGCCTTGCCGGTACTCATTGTGGACCTACTTCACAATTTATGCATTTTTACGTTTGTACCACTCACCCTGATACCACGTGAATCTAATGCTCCCTTCACCCAACAACTTTATGTGCAGCGTTCAAGCTATAGTCTGCCATAACAAATTCATTGCAAGTGGATGTCAAATCATCAAGAGATGAACACATATGACTACTGGGAGTTATGTTGATGTGTTATGTTCAAAATGTCTGTCTCTTGATTGTCCATGGGCGTGCAATTTGTTTATTTTATGGTGTATATGTACACGTATGTATGCACCACGCATTAACATTGATGTATGTATTCACATATATTGAGATTTGTTTGGATTGCTTTAAACTTATATTGAATGGGGATGATCCTGCTTGAAATGGAATAGCATGTGAAAAAAAAGTTTGTATTAGATTGAAATATTTGATCAAATTGAGAGAAGTTGTCACTTCGCCAATTATATCTTTCCCTTAGTTTTTTGTGCACCAGCAAAAATATGCTGTATATTAATATTATGATTTCATCTGAGCAAATCTCGAAGAATAAATCCTATGACTGCTCCTCATTTTGACATTAATATATCATAAAGTTAAATGCTCTGTTTAGTGGGGCTGTGTTGTTGTGGTGCTGTGATACACGTCAATCCTACAGCCATTCTTCAGTCCTACAATTCTAAATATTTAAAAAACCAAAGCAGTGATATTCTAGTATTATTTTGTTATAAAATGGAATAAAACTATAATCTCTGCCGATTCTTTACTTTGCATTTGGCCTTACCTCTATTTGGTTTGCCTTTATAGTTTAATCACTTCAAAGTCTTCCGTAAACTTTATGGAAAAGATAAGTCTGTAACATGTGAGAGAGAGAGAGAGAGAGAGAGAGAGAGAGAGGAGCAGGGGACTTTGAAAATCATAAATCGTTGAGTTCTGTGAGAGGGATGGTGCTTTATGATGCAACTTATATAGATTGTTGATTCTTGCTCTGCTCACTTTGACCTCTAACCTTTGACATGCCAGCTGGTTAGCAACAAAGTCATGCTTTTATCCTTCGGATTGATGACAGGTGGATAAGAGGTCAGAAGGCTAATTATTAGAAAAATTATATGTTGGTTGATGACATGTTAGGAGGTGGACGAATAATTAGGAGAGAGTATACAATGAGATAGAGAAGCTCCCTTTGAACTCCCAACTTCTCTGTAAGTTATGCCCTTCAGTTTTGCAGTAAACACCAAATATCTATCATTCCTACAAAACCTTTGTAAAGGCATCGTTTGGTTTGTTGCACGATTGATAGGCAGTATGATGAACAATTAGTTTACTCAAGGTGATTTTGGTGCTTCATAAGTGTGTGGCTTGAGCTTATATTGTAGAGGGTGTATATTGAATCTTCCAAAAGTCATTTCTCATTCCAATTTCAATTGTTTTCTAAATATCAAGCAGTAAAAAAATTCTTTCAAAAGAAGCTTAAGTATTGACTTATGAAAGTGTACGCTACCACACTTATGCGCATAGCATTTAGATTTAAAAGTTGGTGTTGCTTCAATGCTTTTTAAAGCTTATGCTCCCTAAAGAATTTGCTTTCTATTGGTATTTTCCAAACTCTGTTCGTACAATTTTCAAGCTTTAACAGATTGCGTTATCATCTTTCATCCTCCAGGTTTCATTGTTTAAGAGGCTTCTTCTTATGGTGAGAAATTTGAGGGCAGAGTCAGACCGCATGCATGCTTTGGCATGTATTTGTCGTACTGCTCTTTGTGTAGATCTTTTTGCAAAGGAAAGTGTGCGAAGAGGTCAGAAGCCTCTTCCAGGCACAGACATTACTTCACTTTTTGAAGATGTGAGAATATATGATGACCTAAACAGTATATCAAGTAAAAGCCTTTTTAGAGAGGAACTTGTTGCTTCACTGGTTGAAAGCTGTTTTCAATTGTCTCTACCTCTGCCTGAACAGAAAAATTCCGGTACTGAGAGCAGAGTTATTGGGGCTTTGGCTTATGGAACCGGATATGGTGCACTGAATTGGACAGAGTCTGCCTTGGAGGTTGTGGAAGTTTGTAGGCCTTGTGTTATGTGGGATTGTGACGGGCGGACTTATGCTATAGATTGTTATTTGAAGTTACTTGTCAGACTTTGTCATATATATGATACAAGAGGAGGCGTGAAAACAATTAAAGATGGTGCCTCTCAGGACCAAATTTTGAATGAGACAAGACTACGAAATTTACAACTAAAGCTGCTCAAAGATCTCCTTGAGGTTGGTATGATGTTATTTTTAGTACCCAGTACACTCGTTGTATATTAATGTTTTTTATTTCTATTACTTTAAATGCTAAATATGATTTAATGCATGGTAGATATAGCATATTATCCTTACAGTGGTAAAAAAAAAAGGCTGTTAGGATTGTAAGATGATTATGAAAGAATGTTTTTCCATAACATAAAATAGTTGTTAGATGTATATCAAGTATAAAGAAGCCATTAATAGAAATAATTATCTTGAATAAGATGGTTAAATTGAAAGGTGGAAAATTGATGATATTCCAGGATAACTTGCTAAAGAGGCAAATTGAATTATTTTATTCAAGTCCAATATATTAGGATAAGATGACCACTTCCATTAATAAGACTGCTTTAGCAGTTGTAGGAAAGTCTATAAACCTCAATCTTTAGATCCAGAGATATTTATTGAGATTTGTAGTTATGGGTAATGTTATAATAGTTTGGTTAATAAATCTTTTTAATAAATTTTGAAGGCTAGGAGAATAACATAATTGAAGAAGTTTTTTTATGCCAATATTTAGGAACTCCAGAGGGTTTCAAGACTGTGGTAATTATAATCTCTCGATGATGCAAAATTGATCACACATTAGCTTTGAGGGGGACCATTTTGGATCAGTTTTATATATTCAAGAGATTAAACTGGAAAAGTAAGATAGTTTGAGACTATATTGTCACTTATAAATGATCGGGTTACTATTTTAGAGTTTTAGATAATCGAACATGATCTCGCATTAGAAATAGTTGTATAGTAACTAAAGTTTTTTAATCTATATACTTAATGTTATGCTAACTCCTAAACAAAGTATATTGCAAGATTTTTAAAACTTTCATATATTAGCATTCTATAAAAAAACAAATTTTTTTAACTTAAAAAAGGTTTTGGGCCCTTGTCTAATTAGAATGATGGTTTAGGGCAAGTAAAATGTGCCATCATTGTCTTGGCAACAATTGATGGGTCGAGAACAATGATTTTTTTATTAAAGGAGAGAATGCTCATGTAGATTTTCATACAATGGAGAAACAAACGACTACATCTTTTTATTGGTAATTTCCTCTCATGATTTGGTTGGGTTTATTGATGATAGTGTGGCATTAATGGACTCCGAGTTGAAAATGATGTTGAGTTTCATTTTGGGTAGTACTCATCGTAGTCAAATTCTCATATAAAGATGTGGTTGCTAAAGTTCAAAGTTTTTTTTTTCATCCTATCATACAAATTACCCCTAATAATTTTGAATCTAATGAGTTTATAAATTATATTAAGGAGATCATGGCGATCATTGTTTTAAGATTGACACCATCACTTAAGAATTTAAGGTGAAGAACCTGATGCATGAGTTTGAGATGGCTGCTACCAAGTAGTGGCAGGGCATCCCTAGAAATGATAATACACTAACTTTTATGTATGTGGAGGTTGGTATGGGAGCTCCCACGATACCCACAGAATTTGATTTTTGTGATTGCAAACAGAGCAGGACGGGAGACCCGTAATTCTCCCGCACATTGGGGTTTTTCCAACTTGGAGACTCCCAATTCGGAATCTATCGGGCAAGCAGTCCTTGTGGGCCCTATATTTACTTATTTTTTAATTAAAATTAAGGTTATTTTGGAGGAAACGATTCATATCTTGTTATTTGTCTTTTTTTTTTTCAAATTTTACTTGGTTTTGTGTATTTGAAGATGTTACTCTCTAATTTTTTTTTTGTATGGAGTGCTATATCTTTTTTTGCGTGTGATGTATCTGTAGCTTGCTTAGGAACAATGTTGGATCCCCCTAGGCTACTGTGCTTTGTCAGAACTTGTGTTTCGTGATTCTCTTTGATTTTTTTATGCTCAAAAACTGTCAAATGCCTCCTATCTCTTCCGAATTTTGACGACCTCCCATAGTCTCATACCCTTGTTATTCTACAACCATCTCCTCTCTAAATTTTCTTCCTAAATTTTAGGGAACTCTAAACGTGTCATTTGGTATTAGAGCCTGATAAATCCTAAATTTTTATTTCCTACGCCTACACCTAAAATTCACATAGCCTAACCATTCGACCAACTCAATACTCCTAACTATTCCTATTGCAATTCTTCATACTAGCCCTAAATTTTCAAGAGCAAACATTCCAACCTCTACCAAAAATTCTTCATGCACCTACCACTAAAACCTTAAGCTCTAGGCTAACTTTTGATCTACAACTCTACACTTGCCAAAATCATGATATGGAGAAGTCGTCATAATACTGCCTAGGAGAAACATGTAAAGAGATGTTCAAAAGCTTACGATGGAAGACATGCAAAGAAAAATTATTTAACTTCAATAAATGATTGCCGCCTTTGAGAGGAGATAATTCAAAGAGGTCACTCATAGCCACAGCAGTGACTCTCTAGATCAAGAGGAGGAAGCGAATCCCTTTCATGAAAAAGTTTTCAGTGATGAAAAATCGATACTCCAAAGATTTGACATGAAATATTAGAATAGAAGTCGAGATTTTGGAGTGAAGATTTACTTGTCAGATTTTGATTGAACAAAATTTTGAGTACGAAGACGTCCCCGAGGACAAAAAGTGAAATTAGTGATTATCACGTTCAGGAATAATATTTCATTATGGTGGGAGAACCTGAAGTGCCTTTGATAGCGGGAAGTGAAGAAAAGATTATCACATAATTTAAGATAAAAATGCATATGTAACACAAATACTTTTCTTTATATGACCGACAATACATGTTTATAAATCTCCATAACTGTGATAAATATATTTTTCTGTGGAGTACACAACTGAATTTGACATGTTAAAAGGTGAGTTGATATAAATGGAGGAGTGCGTTATGGCGAGGTATTTTTGAGGAGTGAAGCTATTTATTAGTAATTTGTTGTTTCTGCAGCCATATTAGTCTCTGTTTGATGTATAGATCCTAGATTTGAAGGTAGAGAAACAGTGATGTCACCATGTGATAATCACATCTTGCTGACAAAACTCAACCCCAGAATTAGACAGCAATAGAACATATATCAGACCACTCAATTTGATCTCTCCCGAGGAGAAACTAATCTAGAGTGGAGAAAAGGTGGAGACTATTAGCACTCTCAAATTTGTCTTAGTCATGAAGTGCTTTAATTGCCACAGTTTTGGTCACATTGTGTCTAATTGTCCAAACAGGAGAGTGGTTTTTTTTACTTAGCAGGGAGCGGTTGAAGAGATGAATAATTACATATGAGAAATTGAGAATGTCATAGTGGAGCATTATCTTCAAATCAACGAGAGAAAGATGCTAGTGATGCGATGGATCCTTTAGGCAAAACCCCATAAGTGAGCAACCGTGGCTCCACTTCTTTCTTATTTGTTGCACCATGAAGGGAATGATGTACAATCTCATTATATATAGAAGCAGGTTCAAAAATATTTAATCTAAGAAAATGGTGGATAAGTAAGCCATACTATCTTGAAGTATTCTCAACTTTATTTCCTTGATTAAAGAAGAGGAATAATATTAGTTTTGATAAGAGATATTTTATAGAATTTTTAATTGGAGATAAGTTGAAGGATCATGTTTGGTGTGATGTTGTGCCTATGGATGCATGTCACACTCTTTTGAGCCGACCATGGTAGTATGACGGTGTTGAATCCTATATCGTCATTCAGATAAAGCACGTCTCGAGAGTTAGAGCCCGGAGAAGGAGAGTAAGAGAGAGAGTTAGCAAGTAGTTCTTCAGAGAGAAGAATCGGGGAGAAAAGTCCCTTTATTTATCGTTGGTCCCTCTATTTATAGGTTTTTTTGTACAATTATAGAAATGAGGAAGAGATTATGAAATCACCCTTAATTACTGAAAGGAAAGCAATTATGGAAACCGCCCTTAATGCAGTTGATGTGCTTATTTAATATAAGATTTGTGTTGTCATTTAAGTTTAATACATCGGTCATTCGCAAATCGATGCATTTAGTTCAGTCGTTCAGAGCAACCGATTGCGTGGCGACCGTTTATGTTGGACAAAACCGATCGATCAACTATTTGTTAATGAACACCCCTAAAAGATGCTTGGTTAGTTGAGTCCGTTAGCGCGATCTGTCGATTGAATCCCTCGATAGTGTGGGTCTGTCGACTCGATAGTGCGGTCAGTCATCGAACGACTGGTTCAAATCGTGTTCCCTCTGTCTGCCACTTTGATTATCCGACCATTATGATTGCAATGAGAATCATGCTAGCAGTATGTTGTACACATTAGTTTCCCGAGTTTTCCTGCTTCTTGATAGTGACAACTACGATAAAGATAGAGAAACTATTAAAAAACCAATGGCGCATAAATTAAGAGAATTGGTTTAGTAATAGGCTTCCCATTGGGTTCCACGCCTGGTACGCCCTATAGATAAGGTTGTGGGCTTGGCATGGCGTTCTTTGTTGTCCGCGAGCCTCAGAAAATTTGAGGGCTTCCATGGCTGAGGGTACGAGTCGAAGCGGGATGAATCTCGAAATCCTGGCTTTGGTTCGCTATCGGATCCCCGCCTCTGTAAAGAAGAAAAAGATCTTGAAGAAAGAAAAATGGTCCAAACCAAAACCCATATCAGTCGATCTAGTTGACTTGTCTGACGAGCAGATGGACCTCGCCGAAAAAGCTTCGCCTGGAAGCTCTGGCCTCTGAGCCCAACATAAGCACAGTCGCTGAGGGCCAGCAAGGCCTGGGTGGTGAAGAGATTGAGGTCGGGAAAAAGGTACTGGAGGGAGTGACAGTCGTCGGTTCTTCCCAACCTTTGCTTTAGAAAGACAGAGGTACCTTATCGCAAGAGAGAGAGAGGTTTTGAATTGCCCTTTCTGAAATGGGCATAATTTTAGGTATGCAAAAATTCTCTTTGGTTGGCGGTTTTTTAATGACGCTGAAACTTTATCCTGGATGCAGATGAATCGGTCTAGTTAGAGGGCCGCGAAGATGGCAGTTCTTTGAAGGATGCTACGGAGTCCGCACCCTATGCAATGGCCAGTCTACATGC